CCTCTCTCGCTGTGTCTCTGTCAAATAAATAAAATCTTAAAAAAAAAAAAATTTTTTTTGTGAGACAAAAAAAGTTTTTTGGGGGAAACATTTCATGTATATACATATAAATAAGCAAAACGTGTGTAAATATGAATAATAAATGTGACTTAAACAATGTAATGGAATATAAAACAGATGAAAGATGGCATGTTCTATAACCAAGGCCACTGGATGGTGGAAAAACTTTAAGTTAGGAGACCAATGGCCAGAGACCTAACCATGGTTCTGCCCTTAAGTAGCTATCTAAACTGGGGCAAGGAGCCTCAGATTTTTTCAGTTCTAAAAAAAGAAGAGATGGACTAGAAGGTAACTAAAGTCATTTTCAGATCTGAAATTCTGTTTTATAGCTGATTTAAAATCTCACAGGAAAGGAAGAAAACATGTACCTTTGTATCTTATAACAAAATAAACTCCAATGGATTAGAGACCTTAAGATAAAAAAATTAAACCTTAAAAATATTAAAAGAAAATATAAGTGAGTATTTTTATACTTGGGAGTAGAAAAGCATCTTACACTAAAGGCAGAACCAATGATGATTTGGAAAAATATGTCAGGCAATAACATAACATTAAACAAAGTTATAAGGCAAATAAAAAATGGAAAAAATATTGCAACATATATCTTAAAAATGCAAATTAAAATGAGAGATCCTGGGTTTTTCTTTTTTATCCATTAGTGGGCAAAGAGGAAATGGGGGAACTACACTGACAATATTTCTATACTTTGTATTAAAAAAAAGCATCTATTACTTCTTAAGTTCATACACACACGTCCACCAAACGAAAAGGTTAAGAATCATAATACCCAGTGCTGACAAACAAGTCCTGTCATATGCTGTTAGTAGGAATATAATATGGTACTTAACAACTGTTCTAGAAGATGATTTAACAACTACATGTTATCCTTTGACCTGGAAACTCTACCTTGACAATTTACTAGAAACTAGCTGGAGGGGCACCTGGGTAGTTCAGTTGGTTAAGCGTCTGCCTTCAGCTCAGGTCATGATCCCAGGGTCCTGGGATCAAGTCCTGCATCAGGCTCCCTGCTCAGTGGGGTGCCTGCTTTTCCCTCTTCCTCTGCTGCTCCCCTTGCTTGTGCTCTGTTAAATAAATAAAATCTTAAAAAAAAAAAAGAAACTAGCTGGAAAGGTAAGAAATCACACTTAGCACAAAACTAGTAAGACTGTAAATGTCCATCACGAGGCAAGTGAATAGGACTGGTGTTATAACCCCCAAACTGACACTGAAACAAATGTGTGTTATATGAGGAACTAAAGGGAATTCTGAAAGAGTCTCATAGTTAGTTCAATTTTGGCAGTTTCCAGGTTGTTTTGTCAACCTGCCTTCATCTATTCAGTGTTTTTCTCAAAAGGTGGTTTCCAGATCACAGGCATAAAGATCATCGAAAATGTTAAAGATACAAGAGGCTTGATCTGTTGTATTTCTTCTCATCTGAGCTTTCAGACATCAAAGTCACTTTAAAATTTATTGGACCAGATTTCTAGGGTGAAATGTATAACCTATGTAAAATGTATAGATATATTTGATCTAAATATTTAAAAATATAATGAATATACAAGGATTCAATAGTTAAATATGTTTTAGTAAGTCAAATAGTTGGTTACCTTGTACAAAAATTCTATATGCCTTATATATAAAAGACCTAAAAAAACAGTGAAGAGGCAGGGCCAGTCTTTAGAGTATTATTTATCATTATGGATGCTCAACTGAGAGACACCTACTTTTT